GAAGTTTGAAAATGGATTTTGATGAATATTATAAACTTTGAATTAATAATTCATTTTGAAGAACATCCTGTACCGTTTTAATCGCCAATGCACCATTTGCATTGAAAGATTCGACTAAATTTTCAATATCTTTCGAATCCGTAGCATAAAATATTACTGCCTGAATCCATCTCTCTCTCTCTCTCTCTCTCTCTCTCTCTCTCTCTCTCTCNAGCCCGGCCGCCGTTAATGAGACACTCGATTTCGAACGTTCGCCGTACGGGCACTCGTGGAAACATTGCAGAGCGTACTGAGACCAAAAAACTGACAAAGCAACATTATGTACTCGGATGTAGCAGAATTCGTTCTTTCTTTCATTTTCTCTTTCTTTCTCTTTTTTTTTTGGTGAAACAATTGCTTCTCCGATGATGAACTTCGAGCTCGACACTCGCACAACGCGATGCTACAGCAATCCTGCGAGTTATAAATTAAATTCCGATGATCATCTGGATGTATCGAATCACGGTACGATTCGATGGCGAAATAACCGTTTCGACGGGAAATGTAAGGTTTATTCTGAATAATAACTTCTGAATTCCATTGTTCGTGCTTATAAGCTTCTATTTTTCGAAATGATATTTTCTTAGCGTTTTATGGGCTCTGACTACTTTGATGGGATCAAAAATTACTTGTATTTGAAGAAGATAGCAGAAAAGAAGTAAACATTTGATTGATATAAGTTTTTATGGCTTATATTACTATGTTGCCAACTATGAGAAGAAACAGTGTTAACTTTGTTTTAAATGCTGTTTATTTAGATTTCATACGGCATCGCCCTGAAGTCCTCTTTTTAAAGATGGCTTGACGGTGTGCAGGTTTACGTCTGCTAAACGGGATTACCTGGACTAAAAATTCAAAAAGTGCTTCAAACTAGAGTACAGGGTCCGCCGCCAAAATCCGGGCAAACTTAACCTATCAACTGCCAAATATTCTTTTTTTTTCATTTTTGTTGTTAAAATATTTTATATTTTTTAATAAGTCCCAAATAGAGATTGTGGCAGGTTGCATGAATAAAAAAGAACAAATTTGTTTATTGTATGAAAAGCAGAAGACTGAGTAAGTAACATATAGTTACTATAATATTATTATTATGATATAAAAACCAAACCGAAAATATCATGCTTCAAAATATGATAATTTTGTTGTGTTTAACTTATAGATGATTTCCAAATTTGTTCACATTTTCATCGATATTGAATATTGTTTCGAAACCGAGATTTTTTGCTAAAACTGCATTCCATTTTGTTATAATGTTTTCTCCGTATTCAAGAATGCTCCTAAAATTTCGATTTATATTTGTATATTCATCAATTCAGTTAATGGCACTCCAATAGTTTATAATTCTTTTATATCATCCGGGAAGTTTGAAAATGGATTTTGATGAATATTATAAACTTTGAATTAATAATTCATTTTGAAGAACATCCTGTACCGTTTTAATCGCCAATGCACCATTTGCATTGAAAGATTCGACTAAATTTTCAATATCTTTCGAATCCGTAGCATAAAATATTACTGCCTGAATCCATCTCTCTCTCTCTCTCTCTCTCTCTCTCTCTCTCTCTCTCTCTCGTTAAGATTTCCTAAAATTCTTCGACAGCATTCGGCTGGAAGTAATGATTTTACGACTACTTTTTAAATAGAAGATATTAAATCATTTACAAACGGAAGATATTGACACGTTAAATGCACCATATTTCGATAAAACAGCTCTAAATGCTGTTTTTAGCATTTATCATATGCGCAGCTGTATCTGCCATCAACAAGACTAGGTAATGTTCGAATGTCCATAAGTACTAATTTTATGTAAAGAAATGGAATAAACGTATTCTCTCGAAGTTTAATAACTACGCAAATATAAATGTTAAAGAAACAACACCTGCTTTGAGGCTATAGTTTAGACCTATCTTAACAGCTCCCATAATCTCCAAAAAATCTGTAAAATTTTCTTAAAACATTGCAAAATCGATAGCAATTGAAAGGTGCCTTGATGAGTGCCTCGAAATGAAAGCGGAATCAGAAAATCTTTAAACTTTCGAGACATGTCGCTGCTGTCAGAGTGTCGCCTAACAAAAAGGGTCGGTACATTGTTCCCCCTACATTTTACTATTCAAGGAAACACCAATTTTTTGGATCATGCGAAATGTTCGAAATTCGAATTTGGCCGCCTTTTTGTGTCAAATCGACCACTGTGCGACGGTTCTTCAGAGCTTTTTGATGCAGTGTCGCGCGGCAATTATTCAAAACCTGCCGAAAATTCGCTTTCATTTTTCGTCGCGGGCATCGGTTTTTCTTCTTCTCCGGATAAATTACTGTGCTAACGTCGTTAGCTAACGAGAAACTGTAGTCGGCAGCATCGTCCTTTTTCAGCTTTTTAAGATCAGAAACTTCTTTGAGAGGAGCGCGAGCCATGACACCGGGCAAAAAATGTTTCATTTAATTTTATCGTTCAAAAGAGAAAACGCGTTCGCTAAATATTTAGTGCGCGGCGTGCACTTTTTTTCCTACGTTTTATCGCGTAGTTAATATGAAACTCGAGCTATATCCGGCCCGGCGCGGAAAATAAGGTAAAGGGAGCATCGTTCAACAATCATGCTCCAGCATCGAAGGAACGGAACCAGGAAAAGCGACTCCGCTATAATGTAACATCAAAGCGCATAATGAATTGATCAGAATGCTCTGATTCTTTGAGCCTCCGACGCGATCTTAATTACCGAATTGTTCTTCAATTTTCTCAAAGGGAATTGCGCAACGCACCTATCGATGGTGTCTGTTAATGTAATTAATTTCGACATCAAAGAGCAAGTTCCCACGGTGAGTAATATGCATTGAAATTGCACGGGCGGCTTTTATAAAATTGACGGAGAGCTGCGATGGAAAGGTTTTGTAATTGTTGATGAAAGTTGAAAGGTCAGTGTAATTAAAAGACAAATGGCCTTTATTTTACGCTTTCGCGGATAAGAAAATTAACGCAGCGAGAGAGTAAACGGAAGGTGGATTTTCCTTGCGTGCAACATATAGATAGTTATAATATGAAAAACTAGTTAATGAAAATTATGAGACTTGCGAGGGTAACAAACGCTCACACCTTTGCAGGTAAATACAATTTATTGTAAGCAACGATTTTCTAGTGTTTTATATATATATATAATATTCATCGTTTCTAATAGTAATTTCTTTTCTATCATGAATTTTATACAATTAACACGAATTAAGGTATCCTTGAAAATCATTAACCAAGTGCCTGGAATTTAATTATTAATAGAAATTAGTAGAATTTTTTATTTCATTGCTGAATGCCTGAGTAAAAATTAAAAATTATTATTTATTTAATTGTTATTATTTAAAAATTGTTAGATACCTTCCAATTTGCAAAAAATCATATAAAAAGCATATTTCACCAAATATCTTGGGAAACGATTTTTAAATTTACAATTAATTCGTGTTAATTGTATAAAATTCATGATAGAATAGAAATTACTATTAGAAACGGTGAAAGGTGAATTTAAAAACGTTACTATTTGAACGTAAACAGTGCCAGTATTAACTATGATTAAAAGCATTTACTTGTGACAATAAAAAGTTCGACCATTGTAATAGAGTATTTTTGAATCGACGTAAATCTGTTTGATTTAGCAGACAATCGCGGCAATATTAATGAATAAATTAACCGGACGATGGAAGCAAAAGGGAAATCATAATTATTGGTTCATGGCTCGTCTAAAATTACACGACTTAACGTTGGGTGTGCACGTAGAAGCTGCAGCCTCATTAGCATTATTGTATTGCCTGTGATAAGGAAGGAAACCGTTCGCGGTAATTAGAATGCGGAGGAGAAAATGCAAATGCATTTCGCCTGACAACAATGCGTAAACGATTCGAACAATGTTGAGCCATCGCAGGGGGAAGGGGGGGCAGTCGATCGGAATCAACGCGAGTTTCTTTTCGGTCGCTTAGCTGCGCGAAGCATTTAAGACTCTGGGAGAAGTCCGTCTTTCGCTCGAAACAATGGCCTAAGTAGAACGGCATTTATTATGTTGAATTAATTGACTGGGACGGAATGGCTCGAAAAAGGAGAGCCAACCAACTTCGAGAGAGAAAGAGAGAGAGAGAGAGAGACAGAGAACGCCCGTCAACAATATTCAAGTGGGACCACTTTCGATTCGATATTATCAAGTGGCGGCAGACCTGTGTAATTAACAGAAGTTATGATAACGAGAGGATTTCGCGAACTGATAAGTAGGAAAGTTGGACAGTTAGGAAATTTGCCGTGCGACCGCGGGCAGCGCTGAATAAATCATCGCAAAAATCAATCTGCCGTATTGAGGCAGCACTTTCGGAATGTCTCGTACCGATGCAATTATACATTTGCACGGGTTTGTACAGCCGCGAATGTAACTTCCGTCGTACCGAATGCGCTTTATAAACTCGTTAATTTGCTCCGCCGTTTATCAAATATTAATTTTCCCCGGGTACGCTTTGAAATCTTTCGATTGATTCAGGGAAACATAACGGTATACGTACCTACGGGGAACACCGTGACGTTTCCCTATCAATTCGTTAACGTCGGTTCTTCCCGTTTACTTTTCAGTTCTGCAATCATCCCGTCCAATTATAAATATTAATTATTTATATACCGCGTGTGCGTCGAAGTTATTTCGATGTTTCAATTTTACTCCGGGAAGAAACAAATTAAATTTGAATTAGACGAGAGCAAAGCACGTCGAGATAAATATTTTTTTTATTTTATTTACCGGCTCGAAAACCGTATTGCCGGAGTTTTCGATGAAACGCGTTCGCGAATTGTTCCGCTGAATCGATAAACGTGTTGTAGGTGCCGCGAAATTAAACGGGACTCTCTTTTGATTGCAGGCATGTCGAGACGCGTGACGTAAAAATGTTCGCGGCTGTTCGAGCGATACGGTGCATGCAAGTTGGTTCCGTGACGATGTCGTACTTACTGTCGATTTTAATTTTTCCGTCGGTTTGGCCGAGTGAGTTGGTCGCCACACACCGGAAGAACCCGAAGTCCTCGGGTCGTACGGACTTTATGGTCAGCCTCATCGTTATCGCGTATCCGTTCGGGATTGCTTCAACTTTGTAGTTGTTGTCTGCAAGCAAATCAATAGGACCTTAGCAAATTCGCCGCTGTTTTCCATTGCATTGAACGCGGCCGCGGTGCGTGCCGCAGCACACGTGTTCACCGACTCCGTCGAATCTTAGAGCATCGGCGTAGCGAGAAGATCAATAATTTACACGGCCGCAGCGATGTCACTGCGTCAGTGACGGCAGACCAAAATTATGTCATTTACGGAGACATATTTGTTTGATGTTAAAAGTTATTAAAATAATAACAGCAATAATATTAAATTAGTGGAATCATTTTCATATTTCATGCTTGTCAGTCATATTTGTATAGCATTGTCAGTGATGACTGAAACAATTTCGCTTCCTATTCTCTATTTTACAAATGCTTCATAATTAGATATTGTCATAGTCATTCGATTTTCTGTTTCGATCGTACACGATTTCATTTCAAAATTCGGATGAATAAAATGACAGGTAATTGTGAAAAAGACATCATCTGTATGTATCTTCGATACTATTCGATTCGGTATTAGAATTTACGGACTGGTATCGATACGTATCGATTCGATTGCCAGCGATAACCATTATAAATGACGGAAATAGTTTTCGCTTACGATTAACCATAACAGATGATGAAAATTGCTTTTTCTTGCAAATAACAATGATCGAAGACGAGAATATTAGCTCGTTACAGATAACCAATTTGATTGACGAAAATCGAAAAAAATTGACGTAATTGACGAAAACAGTTTCTGGTTAGGAATAACTATGAAGGACAACCTATAAATTATACGTTGCTTACGAATAATTATTATTAATTATCGTCGAAATTATATTTTAGTTACGTTCGATTCTTGAGATCAACGATTTCGACTGCAACGAATCTAAAAATAAAATAAAATGGTATAACAATCTCGCGAAAGTTTCCAAGATTTTTTGATGCTCTCTGGCGAAACGATAAGGCTCGGAAAGAGCATCATCCTTAAATACGATTACTGCCCATAATGGGAACCGTAATTTCCATTTTCTGCTCTGTTTTTTCGAGTTCGCGAAATTACAGCACGCCGCGGGAAAGCGTTAAGCGGGACTCATTGCGAGGAGAGCTACGTCTCTAATTCCGTTACCATGTAATTGCACTTGTCGTTCGTTAAAAAGTTACCTTGTTTTATTAGGGAGAGTGGCGGAGCAACGCCGGTTTTGAATAAGAAGAAACACGTTGGCGGTAAACTTGGTATTTATACGGCGGGTCGCTAAACGTTATGAAACTGTGTAAAGTGGATGCACCAGCGGCTACGTTATTCTCACGTGTGTGTTCATGCACGTGTATGCGCGTGTCCGCGTGTGTATGTTATTCTCGCTGCGAGCGCCATGTTGGTTGTCCATGATGTTTCGGTGCTGCAACGCTGGTAATGCGAAAGCATCAGGCTTTTACTCATGACTTATCAGCACGCGTCGGCCGTTCAACGTACAAGTAATAATTCTTCCGCGTTCGTTCGCGTTTCTGTTTATTACCGGTATCTATCGGGTGTGCAAGAAAATTTTGACTAATCGACGCCAGAGCACACCCTCGCAGCTCGTGTGTCACCAGGACTTGGTGATTTAGAGCTGACGCGACGACGGGCGCGAGAAAAAATCGCGTCACTAAACTGCGGATTTTTATGTAAATTCAGTCGTTTGTTACGCTTTTTTTAGGAAAATTTGTTCTGATAATTGGGACATTTTTCTTTTCCCTTTGGTATTTAGGAGTCGCATCGACTGCATTTTTAATCATTTTTGAATGTTTCATATTGTACATCGATGTTCTTAAGTTTCGTGAGATCTTTTACTGTAACAAATGTGTTTCTAACGCATACGTTACCCGACAAAAATGTTTCAGTTAGTTAGGTATGTATCATTTCAGCTAACATTAGGTCCGAATGATATTTAATTGGTCGTAAATACTAAAATTAATTTGCACAGATTATTTATAAAACAGAGCTGGCCTTAATTGTTGCGAAGAGTGCAAGGAAAATCATTTTCTTATGATTTGTATTTAAAAATCCCTCGACAGTAGCATAATCTGAGGTTTGAATAATGAAAACTTGGCACGATAAAAGTTAAATTGAAATGAAATATTTTAAGAGAAGAAGTAATATCGAACAGCGATTATTTCCGTGTGTCTGTGTTCATGATTTACCATTTCTATTTACAGGAAAAATTCATACACATCAAAGGAATGTTTCTTTTATTGGAACAGTATTTGGAACAGTTTTTACTATTTAATTTTAAATTAATTTAAGTAATATAATATATAAGCCATCTTACATAATAAATGTATTATAAATTGTATTATAAATTTCCGAAAAATATATTTGCCTTTATAATGTACGTATCTTCTGGTTTAACAGTTCGACTCTTCGTCGCTAAATTCTCCGCACGACCCGAAGCCAAATTTTAATGCGCCGCGCTGACTAGCTGAATGTGCGTTCTGGATCTCGATTGCAGACAACGGCTGATAAAAAAAACAGCGTGACAAATATTTCCCCGGCTTCAATCCCCCATATGAGTAGCAAATGGGCCGTTGAAACTACGGTGCGCGCCCTCGTAAATTCGCAAAATTCCAAATTAACAGCGCACTCTTTGCAACAGTTTAATAACTCATCCCCGGTAAAATGTGGGTTTCGGTATCCACACTGAATTTTAAACTGCCGACAATAGTCGGAGTGCAAAATCCAGTAGTTCTTTCATTCTACCAGTTGTAAATGCAATATTAATCATACTCCAACGTTTACGGCGCGACGGTGAACAACGTTTCTCTTTCATATCGCGGCGTACGCGAACAACGCGTGATTTATATTTTTAGCAGAACCGTCATGCGTTGTGTTTGACAGGCACGCGCGAAATTTTACTTCTCCTGTCTGCCGCGTGACATTCATTTCTTGTCCTTTTTCCGTGCGTTAAAAAAAAAAAACGAAAAAAAAAACGGCACGCATAACCATTTTGTTTTAAAGGACGCTTAGACCGCGGAATCGAACGGAACGGAGCGCGGTTCCGCCATTGGAAACCGACGAATGAAAGGAGAGAAATTCTATCAGCGTCGACGCGACTGTCCCGTGAAACAATTTTGTGCTCTGTTTCGTCGTATCACTTTTTCAACACTGGCCCGCTTTCATCTGCATCTTTCTTGCCGTTTGTTTCGTTCGGTTCAATCTGTAAGTTTAACGAGTTTCTGTCACGCCACCGCGCCGAGCCGCGCCGCGCCGCGCCGCGTCGCGTCGCGGCGGAAGTTTTTCGCGCTTAAACCGCCCGGCGACGTATCAATTAATCCGGAAATAAATGCTTCCACGCTCTCTCAGTGGCAATTAGGGCCGGCGATAATTCACGTTCCGAAGGAAAATTAAGATACGTACGGAATATCGTGCGGTTATTATTAATTTCGTAGCGGGCCCGCGTTATCAATTAAGCCGGCGTCGAAAGGGGTCGCGGGGGCGTGTAACACGCACGCGCGTCGACACGGAGCTTCAGCTCGCCCTTCACCGGTTATCATGAAGGGTTTAGGTCCGCGTTTAAAGCGAACCAACGACGGTTAGGGTGAAACAATTAGCGGAAACCGCATTAGCATCGCCCGTACGCAAATCCGCAGTCATATATCGCCGCGAGCAGTTCGCGGTAATTAACTAAAACGAATGAAAAGAACCGTCCGGGAGGCTTGAATAAATTATCTAGCGTAATCGTCGAGTAGGATTGCGCGAGGGAACCTCCCAATTTTTTTTTCACTTAACCGCGAATTAGTTGCGATCGTTTTATCGATTTATCTTCCTTTCGTCCGATTTCGCACGTTGTGCCGCTTTCGAACGCGAGTCTTCGCTTCGCGAAGGACGCGATTTTATTTTTCGATGACCTTACGAAGACAACTGTTTTGCCGAGTGATTCGCAACAATGCTTAGCGTGAACGGGGCTGCGGCGGGGGTAAAAAACGACCGATGCGATTCTGATGGCGTGCGCGGGTAAATCAACCGTGTTGCTACTTTATGGACAGAGCTGGGGAGTTAGGACGTTCCGTAACTGTTGCGGCGGTTAGGGCAACGTTGCAACAATGGCCGACCGTCGTAATTCTCGGGCTCGTAAATCCAATAATTTTATACGTACGTTTTACCGTCATTCGGTTGAACGTCACCAAGAAATCATGAATTAAAGGAAGTTCCATTTCAGTCGACGTTCCTCATAACTCTCGACGAAAATTACGCTTTTGTGTTATTTTCGTAGATTTATAGGGGTAACAATGCATTTAGGAAATGTGAACGGAGTCGAACACGTTTATTTCGACGATATCGAAGTAACGTAAGCAATTCGAGAGTCTAGTTTAATCCACGTTTTCTAAGGCATTTTTAGATCTTTCACGTGGGAAATACGTTAAACGAAAATCAAACGTAATGGAATGAAAATGGCAGGTATTAAATGTCAGAAGAAATCTGAGTCCGGTTTAATAATAAAGTCCGGACTAATATATGTATATTGTTTTGTAACAATGGCAAGATTGGATTTATTTAAATATTATATAATTTGTATCGTAGTATATTTGACGAATGAAGTTTATTTCAAGATTTCTCACAGAAGCATTCTTATATCAGGAATAATAAAAGCAAAAGTCAGAAAAACCAGTTATTTTGATTGATTTGGTAGTTCCAATGTTGTGCCATTTTTATCGATTTTTCGTATGCATAATTGCTAATCGAACGTAATGAGATAAAAGCGACAGGTTTTACTATTTTAAAGCAATTTTTAGCGGTAAATACATTATCGCGATGCAACATTTATATAGAATTAAATTTTTCACGTGGAACTGGTATAATTCTTAAAACAGCATCGAATAATTCTGTATTTAATAATGAAG